TTTCTTCTTTTTCATTTTCACAGCTATCATTTTATTCAGCACATGTTTAATAGCAGACATATATATCACATATATAATCTTATTTAATCCTTATAACACCTGGTGAGGTACAAGTTCTGGTCACTTTACAGATTAGAACACTGAGTCCTAGGAAGGAGAGGGAGTTGCTCCAGGTTCTCAGCCAGGAAGTGGGTGAGGCAGGCTGCTTTTGAGGCTGCCTTGACCTGAACTGATCGACTCCAGGGAGCACTGGTTTAAGTCCTGACTCACAATCCTGTTTACCTTTTATTTTCTCTCACTGCAGATATTTTTATAGAAAACAAGACTTTTTTTTTCCTTTAAAGAGATTAATTTTAAAATGTTTCCTCCAAATTCTGCCTTTCAAGACAGCATTGGGTGTGGCATGAGAGATACACAGTTCATGTTTGCTTCCAGGGATGGTGGAGGTAGAAAGCCAGATTTTCCAAGTGGGGGTTTCACCTCAACCTTAGGAACTCAGTTTTAAATTTAACTTGATTCCCTGAGGGACTGAGTTTATTTGTGACTGACTAGAGAACTGTGTCTTGCTGGATTAAAAATTCACAAACACTTGGGGAAAAAAAGAATACACCTAAAATGGTAAAGTGAAATACTCTACCACAATTTAATGAGTTTTGATAAGTGAATTAGAAATATTCAAATGAAACTTATTTTTAAAAGAAGATCTAGGTGAACAATGTAAGAGTTCATTGATGAATGGTTCATTAACAAAAATGTGGAGTACTCACCCACACAGGGATATTACTCAGCCATCAAAAAGGAGGAAATCCTGTTATTTTTCAACAACATGGATGGATGTTGAGACATGCTAAATGAAGTAAGTTAGAGGTGAAGGGTGGGGTAGGCTAAATAGTTGATGGTGGTCAAAAGATACAAACTTCTAGTTATAAGTAAGTTATGGGTGTTTAATATACAGAAATGTGATTATAGTTAACAACACTATATTATATATTTGAAAGTTGCTAAGAGTGTAATGGATCTTAAAATATCTTATTTAGAAAAGAATTTTTAACTGAAATAAAGAATGCTTATTAAACTTACTGTGGTAATAATTTCATAATTCATAAACATGTCATTATTTTGCATATGCAAACTTTTATAATCTTATTTATTAATTATTTCTCAATAGAACTGAAACAATGAATTATAGCTGGAAATTTGGATTCTCCTGATTCCAATCAAAGGCTGTATCTTGGAGCAAATTAAATGTCAAGTAAAAGCATCAAGTTTCAATGTGGAAGGAAATTTTCTGAATACTTACATAAAGAGGTAAAAAGCAGTAAGGGAAAACTCCCATTTCTTTTTCTGAAGCAAACAATAATTTCTGTTTGAAACAGTTTACTATATCAAGTTCACAAAGCCATAGTCATATCATAGGTCAATGTATAGTTCGTAAAAACCAAATTTGGAAAGTCTGTAGGCAGATGGAAGTTCTGGTTTTGACACAACATTCTGAATGCTTTAGATCACTTTGACTCTGAGTCCTAATGGCCAGGCAACTCTGTGGGAGTAGCTGTTGTTTTCTTTATTCCCACTTCAGAGCTGGAGAAACTGAGGTGTAGTGCTGTACTGAGTTGTTTAAGGTCTTCTGAACAATGGGGAGTCGAGGCAAGGTTTGCAACACAGACTTGTGTTCCACAAGATGAGCTAGCCCCTCTAATATGTGTCCTCACATGGAGAACTGCGGGTATATTGCAGCCCCAGAAAGAGTATAATAAAGAAATGTTTCCAATAGCTAGTTTCTATGTTGCCTAGAAGCAGCAAATATGATTTCTCTGCTGTTGGTGATGCTGAGGTCAATGTAACCGTGAACCTGATAACAAAATGACTGAAGCAGACCTTTGGAAAAGAAGACGATATTAGGCATGACATGGGTGCCTCAGACTTTGGGTGATCAATATTTTTGAGTGATTTGAAAGCATCCCTGCCAAATCATTTTCTTTTGAAAAGTATATTGGTAAACTATAAGAATTCAAATACTCATTGAAGCAAACGCCTCTATTTGTAGCTTCTACTATCTTCTATCTCTTTAAGCACTTCGTAAATGTGTCTTCTCTGCTATCTCGACAGTGTTCTTTGGTACTCCTTTTTGTTTTTCTTTTTTTTAAAAAAAGATTTATTTATTTATGCTTACAGAACTGGGGTACAGGCAGAGATGCGGAGGGTGAGAGGATTCACCAGAGACAGAGTGGGGAGCAGAACAGGCCGACTGATGAAGTACACTGCTGAGGGGAGCAGCGGGCAGATCAGGAGAGGTCTGCCGCGCCATGTGGGTCGCCTCCGGGCCAGGGATTGAACTCGCACTTAAGCGACTGCTGGTAGTTTGCGGTGCTGTGTCCTAACCTGTTGCGCCACCAGGCAATACCCTCCTTCTTGTTATTAGCCTTTCTTGGGATATAACAGATTTGCAGATCCCTTCTGCAATGGGAACATCATTTTCTTTACATATATATGTACACACATGCACACACACTATGTGCACACCCATGCATGCACACACATGCTCCTGAGGTCAGCACACCTCTATCATTAAGTCCTCTCTTTCCCTCCGATCCCAGAGAAGTGTCTTCTTTTCTCAGATTTCTTTTTCTTCTTCATTCAAACTATGTACCTCTCTCCCCAGGTCTTTATGTCATAATTTTTGATTTTCATGCCTTTGGTTCTGGAGACTGATTGTCCTCAGCATCCTAAATGACCTCTAAATCTCAGTTATTATAAGACACTTCTCTCTATGCCTGCCCAATTCTGTTTGCCTCGGAAATGACAACGGATTCACAAGACTTGATTGTTATAGTTAATAAGTCAGGAAGAGCTGAATGTCCTCCAAGAGGTTATTGTTAAGAGTCTTTGTGTTAGCTTCAGCTTCAAGTATGTCTGGCATCCGAAGCAGGAGCTAGGTGGAAGGCAGGAGTGTGGTTTTTCATCAGTGAAGGGCACTTGCTGTACTCCAGAACAAGTCTTTAGTGTTTGTTTGTTTTCTATCCCTTCCTCGCCCTACACTAATATCATCCAATTTCAGTAGTACTATATATTTAGTTGCTATATTTAAATGTAATGTTATTAAAATTCAAATTTAGTACTATCAGTATTTGGGATCAAAGCAGTAACTCTCACCATTAAAACATCATCTACTAAACATATCTTGGGTAGGTAGCAATGAACAGTGCAGAGTTTCTCCAAGTGATATTTAATATAGGTAACAGCTGCTGTGACATGGGCACAGCCAATCAGAAGAAGCCCTTGCAGTGCCATGGCTTAAATCTTCAGTTGCAAGATTGTGGGGAAGTTGATGGGTACTAACAAAGTGGCTGGGGAGGTGGCAGTTGAACCTGGGGAGCTCACTCTAGCAGCTGTTCCTACCTACCAGCCCTTGAGAAAGCTAGCCCAGGCATCTTTCCTGTGTGGCACAGACCGTTCCCTTCGTACAAACCCCCCTGGAGATGAAGGGGCACACCACCCCTATCTGCACCCCCCTGTGCACACACAGCGCTCCAGCTCCCCCACAGGACTGCATTTCTGTTTCCAGTGCAGGGATGTCAGATTGAAATGCAGGCTCCCCAAGGCTAGCTAGCACTTCTAAACTTTGGGGCTCTGGGGTTTCAGGGGAAGGCTGCTGAAGACCATGAATCCCTTTAGAGAGCAAGGTTTTTAAATGCATAAAATAAAATGTTTGGGATTAAAAAGGAAATCAGTTACATGGAAGTACAATGCTAATATAATATTTGAAAATTGCACAATCGCAATATATATTGCTTTTAATGGACATATTGCTTTAATTGACATTTTATATAACAAGAGCTAGCTGAGGCTCCATCTACTTATTACTGTAATTTGTGATATTTGCTACAACTGTGATATGATGTAAAAAATCTGTGGGTTCTACTGGAGAGGTATGGATACTTATCCTGCTGCTACTGTGATGTGCTTCTACATTCAAAATGTATTGTAATTAGTGAAAATAAGAAAGTTTAAAATATTGTTATGCAAATTCACAGTGGCCCTGAATATTCTCTCCTACAGAATAAAGTTGCCCCAGCGATGGTCAGCATCTCTTGAGTGTGCTCCCCCCAACACACCTGTCCTGGAGGTATGACACATAGACCCCAAAACTGGGGGCAAGTTCTCCCAGCCCTAACTGGGAATTTGGAGGCTGGAAAGAAGGGCTCCTGAGCTCTTGGGTGCTCCTTTAAACACTCTACACTTTCCTGCTGAGGGGCTGCTTCTCAGCAACTGAACATCTGGAAAATGGCTTTTATATGGCTGATAGGACTGTGACTTAGCCCACAAGCTCTCCTTTTCACCTGGACACAGATCCCTGGGTCCTCTGGAGCAAGACTGCAAAAAGAAAACACACGTCCCATAGGAGCATTAGGAGGATTAAATAAGATACACCTATAAACTGTACCTTGTAGTGAACTATCAGATTTGCTTGTGCAATTCTCATTTTCTATGGTTAGGTCTTTGAGGGTGATAACAATCTAGACAGTTCCAGTTCCCAAGTGGCTGGGACCAGTGAAGCGCACCATAAACACTTGTGGAATGAATGAATGAAGTCTGCATTTGCACGTGGGCCTCAATCTTCGAGGACCTGCCTCTTAGATGATCCCGGCCCAGGCACCACTGGCACCTTTCTTTACAGCCAGGTAGTAAACACCTTTCTGGTACTGAGCCGAGCGCCAACCACAGCTCAGGTGCTTCTTTCTCGGAGAATTCCTGGGTTTGGGGCTGCTTAGCGCAGAGTTCGTCTCCACGTCTCTCCCGAGCGGCGTCCGGCCAGGTAAGCGGCAGCGGCGAAGAGGAGCCCCCAGGGAAAGACCGCTCCGCAGCGGGCCCGCAGGGAAGGTGCCGGCAGCCAGCGCTGTGTGGTAAAGAGCGAGGAGGGGCCAAGAGGGTTGGGTAGGGGCGGGGCCGCGGTGCTCGTCACTTGATAAAACGCCTGCGAGTCTCCAGAGAACAACGGACTCATTCAGCTATCGGGAGCTGCCGGCGCGGGGGAGCTGCCGGGCGGAGAGCGCGGCTCGTCCGGGGGTGGGGCCGGGCGCAGTGGCGAGCGGAGACCAAGGTGGCCGCGGCGGCAGCGGTAGCAACAGCCCAGCCTCGAACCCGCCCGGAGCGCAGGCGGCCCCCGCAGCTCCCCGCTCCCCTCCCGCTGCGCCCGCCCATGGCGGCCGCGGGGCAGCTGTGGCTGCTCTACCTGTCGGCGGGGCTCCTGCCCCGGCTCGCTGCCGCCTTCAACTTGGACACCCGCGAGGAGAACGTGATCCGGAAAACTGGGGACAGCGGAAGCCTCTTCGGCTTCTCGCTGGCCATGCACTGGCAGCTGCAGCCCGAGGACAAGCGGCTGTGAGTTCCCCGACTCTTTCCACCCCCCACCGGGGCGCTGGCCCGCGCGCGAGGAGGGGCGAGGGCGCGCCGCCTTCCCGCCCGCCGGCCCTGCCCTGCGGCTGCCGGGTCCGGGACTCGGCCGGCCCGGCTAGGAGGGGCCCTCGCCCCGCGCGCGCGGCTCCCTGCCCCCATCCAGCCTGAGCAAGAGGAGAACCCGAGGGTCGACCCCTGCGGCCCGCGGCCCGGGTGCCAAGCGGGGCTGTCCAGGGCCTCGGAAGAGTTTACTTATTATTTTTTTTTTAACCAAGTACTTTCCGGCGGTGCTTCCCTACGGGCACATTTGCTGGGAACCCGGCAGGTGGCACGCTTTGCCGAGCTGCACGCGTGTTTGGGGAGGGGGTGACGCGGATGCAGTGTCGTTGTGGGGGAAGACCCAGGCCTTTTCCAAACTTCAAAACACCCGCGCGCCCCCGAGAAGTTGCAAAGCCACTTTTCATCTTATCTTGTATGGTTGCAGGGGGATACTTTCACACTTCTTCCCCCCAACCCCCTCACCTTTTTTGTTGTTGTTACAAGATGGAACTAGCCAAACACCTGTTCACAAGACTAGATCAGCTGAGGAAACAAGTCCCTCTGAGTGAGGGCCGGCTGACCGGTGGCTCTAGAGACCCTGCACAGGATAGGCCCAGCCCAAGGGGGTAAAGCAAAATGTCCGATCTGGACTGGGGCTTTGCAGGCAAAGTTTGGAAGTGACAACCCCACACCATATGGTGCACCTCCCACAGAAAGTGGGGACCTGCACCCGCAGAAAGTGGGGACTGACAGGCGCTCTTAGGTGCTCCTTTTCTTTCTTAGACAGTATTTGGTTCCCACATGATGAAGTTCTTTAGGCTGGAGGATGTATTTGGGAAGTTAGTCACCTTCATCGCTATGGGGTTGTTTTCTGGATCTGTACAACTGAAAAATAAATTCCCAAAAGGTTTGCTTCCTCCAGGCCTTGAGTAAAACTGAGATCCTTCCAGGACTAACAGACCAGAGAAAGCAAAGTGCAGCAAAGCACAGTAAAGAGAGGACTTGGTGTTTATGAGCCATGTTAGGGTTGTCCAGAGGAAACCCTCAGTTTCAGCAGTTAAAGAACTTTGTAGTTGGTGAATATTGTGGGCCCCTGACCTTGACGTCATATTTTTCTGATAACACCTGCTAGTGAAGCAAAGAAATTAGTTATGGATGAGGCAGGCCCCTGGCAGGGTGGTCTGCAGGCCTGGGCAGCTGTTTGTACTCGGCTTTCTCGCAGTAGAAGTAGTTGTTAGCTGTAAATATGAAATGAAAAGTAGTTTCTGAGAACTCAGTTAATGCAAGACACTTAGTGTTTCTGAACACTTAAATGTTTAGATGAGCACCCGTACGGCGAAATTGAACTTGTTAGGGTAGAAATGACTGGGCCAGCCGCTTTCTGTCTGTGCCAGACACCTGACGCTGATGGCTTCCTTGAAATACTTGTTGAAGCAGACATTTGAAGGGGAGCTATTGGGACAAGAAAATAGCCCAGGATGCTGTTAGCGGGGAGTCCTTGTTGTCTGGGGCTAGCAGCATGCTTGCTAGGGTCTTAACTGCTGGTGGGCTCGTGTGGTCAGATTTGGCACACTCCCTTTCCTTTGGTCAAGTCTTCCAGCTTCAGGAGCTGCAGTGATCTTCCCTGGAGAACCAGATGCGTAGGCCGTATCATCTGCTGTGACCTCTGTCAGTAAAAAGGAGGTGGGTGTAAATGACAGCCAGGGAACATGAGACCCTACAACTTCTCAACTAGTGTCCTAAACGCCTCACTATGGAAAATTCAGTGGGAATATTTCAGGGAACTGATGAGAGAGATCAGAGCTAAAATTCCTCTTTGGCCATCTCACAGCCATTAATTTACTTGCACCTTAGCTTCATCTGTAAAATGTAGCTGTTATTGCCTTGTAGCATTACAAGATAACATGCAAAGTCCCAAATTCCTGCCTGGTGTCGGTAGGTGCTGATGGAACAAGAGTTGTTAATGGCGATTAATTTAGAATTCATATTATGCACTAGCTACTGTACAGGTGTTAAACATTTGTGATTCTTAGACTGTGAAAGAGTAAAGTCAAAGGTTATTGTTTGGGTAATTCATATTTTAAACTTAGCACATTTATGAAACCAGTGTTCAATTTAACTGTAATCAATCTCAATTAGACTTACAATAGAAGTAAATTTACTGAATAAGGGGCTTTATTGAGGCAGAAGTTAAATATCAAAGATACGGAAATAGCAGGTAAATCCACTAATCAAGAAGCTGCCATTGAACTTTGTGGGTTAACTTCTCTACAATGCTTTCTAAATACTTTATAATATCTGAAGCTGGAAATTATAAAATCTTAATATTTTATAACAGTAATAATGGTCTGAGGGCCTTAAAACATTTCAGTGTTCCTAAAACTTTAGGGACTGTAAAACTGAACTAGAGACCATAAAAATACACAAAGGGTTCTAGGCTGTGTGTAAAAGTTTCAGACTCTGAAAGATTATTAGATGGGTGATCGAGTTGGAGTTCAAGGTCTGCCCTCCACACTTTCATTTCTCTTAGGTAGTTAAGGTTGAGTCATTCTTCCTCCCAGGTAGAGAGTTTGGAATGATTTCTGTGGGTCTGCCCATCCTGTGAGTCATCCCTCATTTCTCTTGGAGGTGTGGATTCCTGTATGAAGACGGGACAAAACTGTGAAGGATGAGATCTGTGAGATACTTGTAGAGTTACTCTGGATTTCTCTCTGTTCCTAGGCTCTTTTGGGAAACTGTCTGATCACCACTACTTTCCAGGGGCTCTCCAGTCCCACCAACACTTCTGACTGTGATGTTTCTTGGACATTTGATACTCTCACTTTTAAAAATCACGTTTATGAACTAGAGATCTAGCCTGACTGACTCCCTCTATAGATAATGGAACTGAGGTCAAAAGCTGGGAAATGTTTCAAGTCTCACAACTGCTTAAGTACAGTCTGGATTTGAGTTTGGTATGTCTGATTTGTGCTCATGCCAGCACGAAAGGAAAAATCACAAATGCCCTTCAGACCTGGAGAAATTGGCCAGTAACTGAGTTTTGGATATGTACTGTATTACGTTGATTGATTGAATTGCTTTCTGTGAGGGCCAGAGTTATCTATTTAAATATGTGTACCTGGACTCTCTTCCTATTGAGACTTACTCCTGCTGATCTTGTATCAGCTCTGGGCGGCCTACCTTCTTTATCTGACACTCACACACACCCTCTCACTCACACTGTCATTCACATACTCTCACTGTCTCTCACACTCAGCTTCTGAAAAAGCTCAGTGGTGACTAACTGGTCAGGGTCAGAGCCGTGTCCAGGATGTGTACTAAGCACTTGCTTCCTTGCATTCATTCAGAATGCCACGTGACCCAGGGCCATCATCTGGGGACTATAATGGGTCACCTTGAATTGCAAGACTGGAGAAGGAGCCAGACTGGCTAGTGAGATCTTAGGACTCTGCAAAATGCAGTAATAGACAAGTTTTAACTCAGTGTTGTGAGACCATCCAAGTAATGACTTAAGGTGGCGAGGGAAGGGCCAGAGTATTCATGTGGCATGAATAATTTGTTGGGAATGTCAGATTAAATGTTCCCATAGTAAGAGTCTCTAGTATTGGAAAGAAACCATGACTTGGTGGTCTTAGGTGTATAATATTCAATATTGTTGCTAAAATAGAGGTTTAATTTAAGATCTCGTAACCAAATGCTACTGGAATTCTAGCAGATAGTTTTTCTGGGGCTAGGAGGGAGAATGGAACCATAATAGAAAATACGGTCATATGCTTAGATGAAAGGGTCAGTTTTACTTGAAATGCTATGAGCCCATCTTAAGAAAGAGCATAATCTGTTGTTGGGGATTTATCAGAATCATATCTTAAGGGCCAGTGTAAATTTCTCCAGCAACATTGTTGAGCCAACCTCAGGCTACGCTTCGACAGTTTGACTAAAGCACTTAGTATTATGCGCCTGACAGTTCCCATGGTTTTGTGTTTATCTGTTCTCCATCATTAGAGAACAGATTCAGATTTCCCCCACTTGGATTGTTGGGTATGTGAGGGTAGGGCCCTGTGTTCACTTCTTTGCCTGATAGCACCTAGCATATCCCTTGCAAATACAATGGGGTCATATCATACATATGAAATCAGCTCCTTCAGCTCAGTCTAGAGGAGGAGAAATCCCTTTACTTAAACCATTGCCCTTTCATGTTCAGAGTAGCCTTGGTGTTTGCTGCCCCCAGGGAAAGGGAAGTTGTGACCATAATGCAGAAACACACAAGACATTAATTCTTGGGTTTTGTGCTCCCAATGACCCAGATCCCAGTTAAGAGTTTCATGAGTGATTTTTGAATTCTACTTGACTTCTGCCTTAGCATACTTTAGAACTTAACCCCAGATACACAGACTTGTACTGCATTGGGTTCTCAGGATTTGTGGGTAGTTAGAGAAGGATGGCTGTAGACTAGAGATCCTGACGAGGGTCTGGGGATCAAATGCAGTGAACATTGGAGGGCACTTGTGAACTTGTGGCTGAAGGCTTAGTTATTCAGGAATAGTGAGGGCATCTCTCTCTATGTACCTCTAGGCTGAGTGATGGGGACACTGCTGCCCCCCTCCAGGAGAGATCCTGAGAGCTTGAGTGTGGTGATCTGGGCAGACCAGTGTGAACTGTAGTTTCCAAGGCCTTTTGGGAGGGGAGTAAAAATTGAGCACTGCAAGAGGGTCACGGGGGGCAGGGCCAGCCCCCACTGTTCATTTTTGCTTTCTCTTTGGGTACAGTTTTAGAATCAAATAACTTTTTATGTGGGACCACAGGGGTTCTTAAACCTTGTGAGAGTAACTTAGGGAGTCTTTTTATAAAAAAATAGCTAGGCTCAGCCCATATCTGTTACATCAGTTTGCATTGGTGTGATTCAAGAATCTGTTCCTAAAAGTGTTACAGGTTTGAGCTAGATAAGG